AAACGTTGTGTTCTCTTTCTTCTTTTTTTCAGCATGGAATAAACCTATTACTTGTTCCTTTGCAGCCTACGCATGCTGACGCAGCTACCCACCTGAACTACATTATGAAATTGATACTGTTAATCATGACCAGACACATTATTATTGTTTCAGTGGTATTTTTAATACTGCTTTGTTATTCTCGATTCTAATTACAATATATACGATTTCATTGTAAGGCTTGAGGCGTCTGTTAGATTGCCCCACTGAATAAAGTGTTTTGAATTAAACTGATTGAACAGCTGTTAAGCATACTGTAGTTTTTGTGAAAACAACACAACTTTGTCTGTCAGTGAAAAAAATGACCGCGGGCACTTTTCTTACCCCCCATTATTCTCATGTATGAGTAGAATAGGCAAACCTTCCAATGAAAGAAAGTCCCCCTTTCCCCCACAAAAACTACATTATGCTTAACAGCTGTATTTTTAAATAATCTAAAAATACAAGGGAGAGGCAAGTGGGGAAATGAACTGCAGTGGGGACAGTGTTCATCTGCATTTCTACAGCCCATAAATACAGACTGATACATGTACAGGAATGTTTACAAGCCTCTTCATATCACTGATGTATGGTGTTAAAATATACAGTGCAAACTTTAGATTCATGGTATTGCAACAATCTCCAACAATTTGATACTTTACCGTCAACTTGTAGTTCAAAAGGCAACAAAAGGATGAAGAAACCGTTATGCTTTCCAGTTACCTGAAGGTTGTCATGATGTCATTTCTGTTTTTTAGAACTTGATAGACCATGGAGGGAAACAGTCTGGAGCAAACAGTAAGTATTTAAAAACACAGCATGAAACCCACATCACACTGTACCTCCCAATGTGGAGCTGACAGTCCTGGAGGGCTGCTGTGTTTGTAAATCACCGAAGAGATGATAGATGTTGTTCAGTTAAGTAAAATAATGAGAATTAAATTGTTAAAAGCTAAGCTGGAAAGAAAAACTGCAGATATGTAATTCCAGTACATACATAATCCTCCAAAACAGTGTTTGGACTCTTCAGCATTAGAAACATAAACTGCAAACTCAGCTTTTCACATCCTGTAGGTTATAAGGTTTGCAAATATATTAAATATATTTTAATATGCTTAAGTTTACATGAGCCTCAAAACTCCAAGAAGCTCACCTCTCGGTCCTGCTATCTCACTATAGGAGTGCGTTTTTTACTAATTTCCATTTATATAATACTTCTCAATTAGACCTCATACAGACCCACTTGCTGGAGAATTAAATATTAACACGGTAAAAATGTATTACATGAAAAATGGTTGTATATGTAGCTTAGTGTACAAATGCTCAGTGCACTGAGTACTGGTATTAGAGTAGAGTAGTCCAATATATCATAAAAACCCAAATAGAGCATTTATATTTTCCCTTTTTTTGAGAACAACCCATCTCTCAGCAGATGAAAGACGGAAATCTGTGAACAGTGTAGTTATTTTTCTTTACAAAGTCTGTTACAGGCAAGTACTAGAAAAATTCTCATCTTGTGGTGCTGTACCTCTTGATAATCTGATTAAAAGATATCAGTGGGGAATCAGTAAACAAATCATTAAAATTAACAATAACTCCTGACACTCATAGTTTAAAACCAGAATCCATAATGCCTGGTAAGAGGTCATGCTGGTCAGTATTTGGAGTAAATGCAGAAGCCAGCCCTGATCTCCCCTCAATGCACTGAACAGCGCTCCATGTCTTGACTGTATTGTCATTGGGTTTTCACAAGACTCTGTTTAATTTTAAATTCTTAAGGAGCAACATATTCTGTGAAGGATATTTTGATTGAGAGGTTCAATGTCAATCCAAATTGAGCAGGGTCATTACGTACCAAATCACCTTCAGAACGTAGAATGGCACTTAACTTAACTTAACACCCATCCCCCCACAGCCACACGCTCCCTAAGCCCCCACAGCTGCGACTGCCCAACACCTCCTCCATCCCCCCACAACCATGGCCGCCTACAGCTACAACCCCCGACAGCTACTCACCCTCAGTTCCTTTTCCCGTCAGGCCTGGCTGGT